GGAAACATGGTCCTTTTATTGTATACTGTAATGATAGTTTTAAGTGAAAAGCGCGTGTTGAGATTGAATGTATTTATTAGCGCGAGTGTGTAGTGTTCGAAGATCGGCGGCGAAATATTGTGTACCAAATCGACCCTCAATTAGCTTAGTCATATAAAATGTGTGGACGGTGATAAAAGGAATATTGAATACTCCACCCCCCCCCTTACTGAGTGAATCGAATGTAAATAGACAAAATTTACCTAGAATGCTGGCCAAAAAGACAGTTTTCTTTTAAATTGGCCTCATCCTTAATTTTTATTACAAAATTATACTAAAGAAGGCTCAGATTGTCGAAGATAAAATGTATACAAATTTGACAATTAAGTTAAATTAAAATAATTATCCAATAGAGTTATGCCAGGCAATAAATTTTAATGAACCCATTACATTTACATTACATTTACTTATCGCTATTTACCGAAATTATAATACGCACAGATTTGGTCTTCTGGCGTTACACAACTTCGAGAAATAGGTTTACACGCGTAATTACATATTGCAAATTATTATATAGGGGTCAATCTCTCACCTCTCCATCTGATTCAGTTTGAAATTGAATTATTCATATCAAAGCATTCTATTGCGACTCAGGTACCGAAACTATTAACTATAGTGATAATTATTTAACTTACAATAATGGATTATGAATTAAATTACGTCACTAGATAATCACTTTATATAATATTTCAAACGTGGCTTGCGCTCTAAGACAATAACTATGCAGAACGAAATACACTGCCCCCCCCCCCAAAAAAAAACATACTACCTGGTTTTTGCACGAAAAATAGCCAACTTTGAAAATGCATATTTTCTCAGCCTTTTAAGTCACAGGCCTGCTCTAGACTATTTACGCTGAACAAGATGGCTTTTTTTAAATGTTTTCCTAGCTTAAGTCATTCATCAGTCAATTAAAAAATTCGGGAACATGTTAAATTTTGCAGTTTTTATGAAAACTTCAAATTGAGCTGTGGAGCTAGGAAATCGTCTTGGAGCGACGCCCTTTAACAACCGATAGGAAATTTTAATAAGGTTTCAATTGGTCACCTTCAACTTTGCCCGATTTCTCGACCGTTTTCGAGTTATTCGCAATTTTTGGGCAAAAAACATGATTTTTACGTTGAAATGGGAAAAGGTGAATTTCCGTGATGAAGAAAACGAGTGGTTATCATCAGCAGGAGCATTCCGCATCCCAAAAGGTCAAAGTAAGAAAAAGTACTTGTCGCTTCCCTGTTCACTTTTATCAATTAAGTCCTCACAATAAAAGGTGTAGACGGTTCATAATTGACTCATTCTCGAAAATCCGGAGGTAGAGTGATCAGTTTTTCCATGAGCACGAAAAAAATGACATTTTTTGCCCGGAAACCGCGAATTACTCGAAAACGGTTGAGCATTCGGGCAAAGTAGAAGGTGACCAATTGAAAGTTTATTAAAATTTCCTATCGATTGCTACAGGCGCCGCTCCAAAGATTTCCTGGCTCCACAGCTCAATTTGAAGTTTTTGTAAAAAGTGCAAAAAATTAACACGCTCCCAAATTTTTGAATTTAGTGATCAATGATTGAAGCTAGGAAAACATTCAAAAAAGCAACCTTATTCTGCGTAAAATTTTCTAAGAAATCAGATCTAGCGCAGGCCTGTGACTTCAAAGGCTGAGATAATATGCATTTACAAATTTGGCCATATTTCGTACAAAAACCAAGCGGTCCTTTTTTTTATAATGGGAAGTGTACTTTATACTTGCACACATTTTATATCCTAAAAGAATTTTAAATAATTCTTTGCTTGTTTTCTATATTTGGGAAGCTATGTTGTTATTTTTGTCTCTTTTATAGAAGGAATTCAACCAGTTTGTAAAAATTATTAATTAAATAATATATTGTTATTAAAACAACGATTTAATTATTAATTTATATAAACCAATTGTCTTACTCTAAAAAATAGATTATTTAATAACATGGCAAACAAAGAAATGAGAAAATATAGAATGCATGCCTAAAAAGAATAATTATATTGCACTTTTTTTACTTTTTTATTTTATTTTTACAAATTTTATCTTCTGGTTTTAACTCGGTTACAACACTAGCACTACGGCCAGTACCGTTGCCAGAGGACATGTCTTGAGAAACCAACCAGCTAAGGTACTTAATATGAAAGATTAAGGAGCGAGGAGGTCTACGTTATTTAACGCGATATGGAGGACTCATGTGATGGAAGACAGAGAGAACATGTGCGGAAAGACAAAAGTTTAGATTGAAACTGGTACGGATCAAGTCTTAACGAATGGAATATTGATTTCATTGTGGAAAGTGGGGTTTGAGATGTAGTAGGAAGTTTGGAGAATTGAGGATGGTAGATGGTAGAGAAAAGCTGAATGGAAGAGTAAGTCTGTGACAATAGGTTAGATTCGAACGGGGACGGATCAAGTCTTAATCTAATGGAATATTGAGTTCATGGTGGATGGTGGGGTTAAAGATTTAGTATACTGCTTGGAGATTTTTTCTTACGACTTTGATTAGAATGCTTGGATGGATTGGATATTCAGAGTTCAGCTCTGTATCTCCATCCAAATAGATCGAATTAATGTTTCTTAATGTGAGTTTGTTACAGTCTAAGTCTTTTATAGGGATTCTACGTCAGTCAATTATCTTGGTGCAAGCCATGACTTGAGTATGACCGGTAGCTTGTTGGTGTTGAAGTGCAGTAAAGGACAAGTCTGTTTTTCCACTATAAATGAATACCGTACATTTTTCCTGATTCGGTCCTCCACTTTTTTGGTATAGTGGGTTGCGTGGATGAGAATCGGGTTAGAAGACAAAATTTTGTTGTCAAGTGGAAATAAGATGTTGGGATAAAGAGGAAAGTCAGAAATGTAAATAGTATATAGAATGGGACCTAGAACGCTCCCATGTAAGACGCCGCACTGGTGTGATGATTCGTTGCCCAACCTCACTCTCTTCCCAACTAGAACGAGGGGTTTGTTTGTTAGTCTTAGTTGTTCAAGGCTTTGGTGCCTGTCTACGAATCCAAATTTCACTTCTCTGAATGTCAATAATTCCACATGGCCGAAAGTCTGCATTCGTCCTCATTCCATTTCATTATTCCAGATGAGCCCGAGTTATTCCTGGACATTGGCGGTGAATAGATTTGGGTTTAGGGGTGGTACATAGCGAACGTTGTATAATCCGTAATCTTCTTACTAATACACAGTTGACGGATAAATCACAGGTGATTGATTCACTAATAAACTAACACAAGTAACAAGAGTATTGTGCTAGATTAAGTTGTAAAACTACTTCAAAGGGAAGAAGTTAACTTTGGCTAGTTTTCCCAGATGTGTTTTAAAGGTAAATTTAACTTTGATCCTTAAAATGTTTTTTTCAAAGACAATATCGCGATACTGACCTAATTTAGTTTATGATTGGAACAATTGAAGAAACTCGAAAATTTCGAACTAATGAAGGAAAAATATTTACGTAAAAATTGTGTTTTGTTCAAGCAGGGAAAATGTCTTGTTTTACAATTCGAAACAACCCCAAATCGTAATATTATTTAAGACGGACAACTTAATCTACGACAATAACAAAGGAAACAAACTATGCTTTAAAGTTGGTAAAAAGCCTATATTGCAGCTTTCAAAAGTCTTGATTTGTTCTTGTACGTCCAAACTGTGCATCAAAATGGAAAAGCCATATTTCAATTGTAAATTTTAAAAATAGACAACTATTAGATTTAAATTTTTCACCTGGTAGCAATGGAAGTATTTCGATAAATGGAGCTTAATACAAAGCAAAATATGGTGTTAAGAATAAAGTGGATTTACACGTCCGTACGTGACTGCTTTGAAATATCTAGCGTCTTGACGATTTAATATTTGTCGATCTGTCAAAAAATCTAAAAGAAAACCCTGTAACCTTTCGTAAATTAGACAGCTGAATAGGAACGGAAGCCCAAAATACATTCTTCATAATAAAAAATAATGATTAATCACTGTAAGTATTAATCACAAGTACAGAAAAAGTCACAAAATTTTATTTTTAACTGACGGCGTAAATAAATTTTAAAAAAGTCAAAAGAGAGTTAATCGTAAAATCAGTAAACAGTCGATTTATTCTGAAGCTGTGATTTGGCGAACAATTGCTTTTTCATTGCCTAATTAATTATAAAGGTCTTAGTGAAACGACCCAACTTGGTTTTATATACCTATTTTTCCTTAAATGTAATTACGAAATGTAACGACTATCTTGTTAGCCAATGGTATTAAATTATTCCAATTAATATTTTAACTTTTACATTTAAAAAAATTCTATGGAAATATAATTTAGAAAACTATTGATGTTTAAATTTTTTATATAAAAAAGTAAATGTGAAATCAGAAATTTGATCAAATATTGCTATTGTTTCCACAAAAAATAAATTAAAACACCCACTAATTTATCTAAGCACACAAATCACCATAATACAAGGATGTAAATAATTTAGAGTTTATACAAAGAAAAAAAGTCAAGGCGGATCGACGAAATTTTTAAAATGTAAAACACACAGGATTCCGGTCAAAACGCCATATTATTTTCAACTTAAATTGGTAAAGTCTGAGATTCAGTTTGAAAGTTGATTTTTAATCGGGCGTTCGAATCCTATTTTAAAAGTCCCGACGCTTTCCCGGTTGGAGTTTGAAGTTTCGAGATTGAATTTGACATTTGCTGTTAAGTACATTCCGTAAATTACAAATCGACGGATTATATTTTACAAATTATTGGTGACAAAAGCAAGGATGTCAAAACTTTTAAAATTCGATTTTTTTAACAGTTTTGGTTTGTTTAAATTTAATATTAATAAGGAATTTTTATTGGACAATTTATAGGAATTAACACATCCTGGAGTACAAAGATCATCATAAAGTCATCTTTTTTTAATAGAATACTTTTTTTTGCCAAAATTTATAATAGAGACTTCTACGTACCTACTTCTGATGACGTGGGAATGAGACTGAAGCTTTCGGAAGACGCCCCAGCCGTTTTGTTGAAGACATGCGCTCAACAAATTCAGCATCCCGCTGCACAAAAGGAGCCGGAGCGTTGTCACTCGCACATTTTGCCTGTTAACACATCAAGCATTGAAACAGTTCGAGAGAAAGTGAGACAGTGCGTATACAGAGATTTTGATGCCCCTTTCAGCACATATCTGCACGAAAAGATCCGCTTTGTTCCGGAGGATTTTTACAAGAAATAAAACAACCACCGTTGTATTCATGTGCCAACGTTTATCTTGCAAAGCTAGTATTCAAGAAATTTTTTATACAAATTATATATTTTATTTATATATTTTGTACAAGGCCAAACCAGGCATCAACACCCATCGGTACGATATGTTACTGTAAGGATTTATTTCATGCTTAATCGTGTAGCCAAATTAAAATTAATTAATAATTAAATTTATACTTTTCTAAATGAATAATTAAAAAAATAATGCGTGCAATGGCAGGGCTTATAGATTGTTTTCGGTAATATATTTTCTTATAAGCTTTTTTTAATTTTTTTGTTATCGTTTTGTAAAAAAAAATGATAATAATTGGAATGAATTGAAGATTGTTGGGATTTTTATTGCTAATGTGCATTGACCGTATTTATTATTATGCTTTGGAATAAAGTACGTAAATATTGTATCCTATTGTTACTTTTGTATTCTTTTAATTAGAGATGCTTTGAATTGCCAATGAAGTAATTTATCATTTTAAAGATGAGATGTAGTTTTGAATTTAGTGTAAGTATTATTGGTTAGAAAATTTTCTTTATGCTTATTAGAATTTAACATTATTTTTACATTTTCATTAATTATACTTTTTAACTGAGGTCTTTTTGCCGTATTTTCAAATATCGTGTAATCAAAGTTCGATTCTCGACGATTTAGGAAGCGCCCACGGGGAACTGTTAGCGAAGTAAGTCCTTCTATATTAATCCTTATACGTATTTAGTAGTCATAATCGACTGTTTCACTGTTTTAAATAATGTGTATTTCTTAGTGACCTGTTGTTTATTTGTTGAGGTCGTGTGGAGCGGTCAAGAATGAGGTAGTTTTAGAAATACATATTTTTCATTTTTTTACCGACGTTTCGACCTTTATTCGGGTCATCTTCAGAGCCTGGGTAAATTATAAAGCATACGTTGATTGGAAAAAATACAATTTACGATGTAACTATAAATTTTGAAAATATAAAATTGTAATTAATTATAATTTTTATCTAAAGTCTTGGTTGAGATGAAAAAGCAAGTGTCACGGAGGGGAACCCTCGAACATTGGCTCAATTATTACTACTAAATGTATATATGGATTACATTAAGCCGAAGGTCGTGGGTTCGAATCGCGCTCGTGACACTAGCTTTTTCATCACATCCAAGATTATTGATAAGAAGTATAATTAATTAAAATAATTAATAGGTCGATTATAACTAGTAAATACATATATGGATTATTTTTATTTATGTAGAAATCGTGAGATGCGGTCTGGTGTGATGTAGGTTTCAGAAAAACATTTTCTTTATCGTGCCAACGTTTCGATTTTTATTGAGATCATCTTCAGGGCCTGGGATTTACAAACATTGTTTATATATTACAATTACGTTTTGGATGTGGATAGGTGAATTTATACAATGTAAAATATATTTTTTTATATTCAAATCAATCCCAGGCCCTGAAGATGATCTCAATAAAGATCGAAACGTTGGCACGATAAAGAAAATGTTTCTGAAACCTACATCACGCCAGACCGCATCTCACGATTTCTACATAAATATCGATTAACGGTCACTAATCACCACACATTATTTTTATTGTTTGTTTTTGCAGAGAATTAATGTGTAAAATTCCACTGCGTACCAACTAGAGACGCAAAGAAAATTTTATATGCAATTATGAGGGAATTAATTTAAGGAAGTATTGTCTGAACATGAACAGTTTGGCGGAATATCTTAGTTTGATGAAGAGATTCTTTATGTAGGAAATAAGTCATTTGTTTTAACGTTCAGGGAAGGGCAGTCTTATGTCAAAGCATTGGCTCCTCTGAGCTTATTGGTCAAGCAAGGGCACGAATGACTTAAAACAATCACTGGTCAAGATTAAACTGCATTTGCTTGAAAGAGATTTATTGCTAACTTTCGATCATGAGGCCAAATTAGTAATTATTCAAGAATGATTGAGATAGCAGACATCTAATCGATATGCACCGGCAAAAGAAGCATCTGCATACAAAAACATCTCCCCTGAACCAATTGCTTTATTCATTTCGTTCAAAGAAATAAGAAAGGCTCCAAAACACTACCCTTAGGAACTCCACTATTCAATTTTAAAAAGATCACTGAACTGGTCGGTAATTTTTACACTTGTCTAGTAATTAAATAGCTCTTAAAAGTGTTAATAGTGTTTTCATTGAAATTAGCCTTTTTTTAAACATTAGTACCAAAGCCTTACTGTAATCCAATTTGGTTTTATGCATGATCTGGTCCCTTTATCTTTCAAATGTAAAGTGTTTAATGCGATTTGCCGTTCCATTCTCAGGTACGGATGTCAAGTTTGGGTTTTCAACCTTATGATCAGGCGGAAAAATCATTGAGGTACTTCATCAAGCAGTTTTTACCTTGCCTTCTTGTACTCCAAATTACATGCTGTATATAGAAACCCGGTTGATCCCTTACTTCTGCACATTAAAACTCCATTTTACAAAGCCTTAAAACTTCCTGGTCACCGTTACACGAAAATTACAGTTCAAGAGATAATACATAAAAATATTTTCTGGTATAAGCACTGGAGTTCTTTGACAGATAGATATCATCCTTCTTTTCGATTCTCTCCAGACAACATTTCTGAATGGATGGCAGAAATCCAGTGCATTCTTTCCAATATAAGGTCTAGCGATAGCAAGAGGTTTTTGGAGCGAACGCTGACAACAGAGAAGATTCTTTTGTACAAGAGACATAACCGAAATTTCGATGTGTTCTGCTTGTCGAACGAGAAACATGGAAGAACACTAAAACTGAGGGATCTCCGCTGGTTCTGTAAAATCCGAGAACTTCTTTTCCTTAACTCCACCCCCTTGATAGGTTGCCAGAGGGATACAAAAATGTGCTCTCTGTGCAATACAAAGGAAAAGGAAACCATCGTGCACTTTTTGGCTATATGTACCATTTTATCCGAGATGCATGCTTCTTACTTGGGTAGTGCTGTGCTCTCGGAAGAAAGCCAAACTTTTAAATGAGTCAAGCCGGCTGCTAATAAAATTCACTCGTCATGCCTGGTTTTACCGTTGGGAACTGATACAAGAGGTCAATTTTTAATTTATTAGATAAAATGTTTAATTAATTAATGGTGTATAAATCTGTCTTGTTCTGTGTTCACCAGATTATTTTATTGTATTTTTATTTATTTTTTAATTAATTATTTTATTTTATTTCATTTTTGGTGTTCTTTTTTCTAATTATGTTATAATATTGTTACATTTTATTGGCTATTTTATGATTTTTTATCAATATTTTATCAGTAATCTCGACTCCACGCAGACGGATAGTCCATTGCTATAAATACTTATGCTTTTTTAAAAGTGTATATTTTGTTATTTATAATAATTGTCAAATAAAGTGTTATTATTATTTTTAGTCAGGGAAGCCCAATAGCAAACTTTCCGTGCCTTTTCATTTTGGAAAAAAGACATCGAGTCAATTTATGACTATAACTCAATTAATTAATATTTTTAGTTGAGATAAAAAAGTCAGTGTCACGAGCGGGATTCGAACCCACGATCTTCTTTACCACTTGAGCTATCGTGACCTCGATCTACTCGGAACACTAACTTCCATCTCAACCCCACCTTTTGAATTTTCACTCCTTTTGAGTTTTTTATTTCAACTAAAAATATTAATTAATTGAATGTATTAATTAGTGGTGGACCACTAAAACTAATGAATTTATAACTATAACATTAAACATCTTCCTGATTTAATTTAAATTAATTTTTATACCTAGCATGTGTAGTGAATGTAGTTATTAGCATGAATTACTTTTTTTTTTATAACTTTCCTTTAAGGAAAGCTAACTTATGGCCTTACGTTAATCATATTAGCCAATGGTTATAATTATGGATGAATTACTTATTAGATTGAACGTGTGGTGTGAAAGGGCCGATTGCGGAATATTGCGTACCCCATCGACGCTCAATTAGGTTAGTTATATGTGTGTAAATGGTAATGAAGGAATATCGAGTACTCTACCACCCCTAATTGAATGAATGTAAATTGCGAAATGTGGGATTGCAGGTGGAATGCAAGAAGCAAACGCTCAACTCCGCACATGTTATGTGCGTACGTACATAAGAGGATATGAGCCCACTACACATCCAAATTAATTTTTATTTTGTTTCCATTTTTCTTACTTTATTTTCGAAATTATCTCGCTTTATTTCTGTTTGTATGTTGTTAAAAAAAACTGTGCAAAAGCTAAAAATGTGAGTTGTACGAGTGAAAAACCAGTTTACAAACAGGCCTAAAAAACACAATAAAAACGTTTATAATTTCATTTCAGATCGAAAAACTTAGCCATTAAAATGTCTCTTTAAATATATCGTATTATTGTTTATTCCATGGGCTTGGGCTTAACCACCAACTTCGGCAGTTTTCGAATAAATTCTCGGTTGACCCTACATCGCATATTTATAAAATAAGTTTTAAAAAAAAATTAAATAAATTGGACGTTTTTTTCTGTTGACTCAGGAAATGAAGACAGTTCAACAGGGACACACAAAAAACCCGATAGTACATCAGAAAAAAAAACATGCATAATTTTACTTGAATATGAAGCTCAGTCAATCATTTTAAAAGAAAACAATGTGAAAAAGCTCAAAGTAAAATATTTTAATATTTTCTTTTTTCTTTTACGAAATCACGAAATCCTTTCTACAAAGCGAGTAATTGAGGGTTGAGACTATTTAAAAGGAAAATATTCAGATCAAACATTTTTTTATTCACTGAAATTCTATTATTTCCTCATCCACAGTTTGATAGTTTTGTTGTATTACTTTACTTTATTTTGTCTTTTTTTACAGTGCACACA